CTCTTGGTGGTAAACATTCACCTTCATTTCGATTATTTTTAACTGATGGTGATGGTGGTTGTCATGTAAAGATTTTTCTGCTACCATTGATGTTGGTAATAATCGTACAATGTTAAAGGGATGGGAAATAGGAATCCGAGGGAGGTCTGTAGAATTATGTGTTCCATTTTTCCAAAGGAGTACCTTATTGGGAAAATGTTTGAAGAAGCATTCTTTTTATTGATTTTCAAATGCATCAAAAGTAAACATTGCATTCTTTAAGATGAAAATGAAATTTTGGTGCTTTCTGAATTCTCCTCAAAGGTGTAAATAGTTTCCCGGAAACTCCTTTGAAAAGATCTATTTATCTCTTTAAAGTCAATGTTGAAGCTAATGGGAGGCTGGCCCTGAGTTCTACTTATCTCCCATTAAGATTTAATTGCTTCCATTCAGACAACTAAATTATCTTACTTATGGTCAATTCTTTGCTCAGTATTGACATAAACCTGTTCTACTCTGGTGTCTATCAGTATCACCAGTGCTTTGATTTGAATGTAAATTAAATTGTGGATTGGTGTCGACATTATTGAGTAGATTGCAAACCTTTTCCCTGTATCTTGAATGAATACAAGTTCCTTGCCCCCATAACACAAGCAACTGCTTCCAGGTATTGGGTTAAAAATATGGAGAAATATATAAAGGTATTTCATGTGTCACGTAGATTGTATACATAGAAAGCAAATAGACACAGTAGTTAAACTTACTACAGTAAGTGATTTGATATTGAGCAATACAGAACACACGATAATTGATGCAACAAAAACAGAAGTTACTGGGAACAATTAGGTCAGGCAGCATCTATAGAGAGAGGAAAGTGGATCTGAATTGATGCAAAATGTGGTCCTTTCTGAGTGGAATGATTGCAGATGAGGCAGTGTAGGAGCACCTTGGCCTTCAGAGGGGAAATATGTATCTGGTCTGCTCCTTTGATCGCTATTTAGTGATCCTCACAGAAAAGTGTGTGATGGACGCTGAATAATGGTATAATCATGGTTAAATTGCCTGCTAACAATCACTCTCTAGGTTTAGACATGAAGAATGGTTACTTGGATGAGGTTTGTAGAGTTGCCTGTTCCATGGATCCATGCGCCAATATGAGTCACAACCTTAAAGACAGGAGAAGGAAAAATTAGAAAAACAAACTCTATAGGAAAAGTATTTTCAAAATTCAAAGTTCTTTACAAAACACGAGTAAAATTAAACTACCATAATATTGACACTTAGAAATAGCTTAAGAGTATGTGTCAACACAAGGAATATTATATATGTTTCTTTGTCACTCCTGTCTGAATTGTACTGCCTAAAGCAATTGTTCAAGTCTAGTGATCGATAGCATGTTTTGGTTTCTGTTTTCCAATAAGTTATAAGGTATTTCCCCTTACCCTCCAAAAAATATAAACTAATTGACCACTTCAAAGTGTTGGGAACAAATTAATGGTAATAACCCAGTAATTAGTTTTAGAATCAGCCTTTCAATTTTGTATGTTTACCAGTTTAAGATAGTCAGAAAACGATTTTGCTCAACTTGACACGAACTCCTGCACACAAAATAAAATACAAAGTAAGAAATAATAATGCTGGGAAATTACTATTAGAACCTCTAAATTGTTCCCAACTTATTAAATTGGCCAAACAATTACTTTGGGAAATATATTGAAAATTTTGAATATATACTCCACTCTAATTGTTAGTGGAGCGGGTTCATTGGTTCATTTTTTCACCTGAAATTGAATTAGGCATCTGATCAAAGATACGGTTTCAATCCATTATTCAGTAATTTGTTCAATTGAGATTGTGAAAAAAGTTCATATCTAGTTCAAGTTGTTGGCAGGCAAACTGACAGGGGTGGGTGGTAGAAAGAAGCTGAATAGTAGCAGGAGGTGGTAAACTGCACAACATTCACAGCAAGAGAGCAACAAAATCGAACAATTCTTCTGCACAATATCAGCGTTCCTATTAAGCGCGTAAGATCATTCCAGGTTGGTAGCAGATACTGACAGGTATGTGGGAGTGGTCTCATGCTTTTTCGTATTGAGTTTGAGTCAAATAAGACAGTAAATTGGTGTCTTGGTGTCACACTGCGCTTCGACGAACTTCACGGTCAGCATGAAAACACGTGTGCCATTTCATTTCTTTCAATGAAAACAATATTAAATGCCAAGGTACACAAGTGCATTCACAAACATGTGTGGCCCTTTGCTGCTCAGTCAGGGTATTAATCAATCAGACTGTTGGAGGAGTTTGTGGAAGATTTTTAAGGTAAACTAAATGTCAAAGTATGTTAAAAAAGGGATATTTCTGGAACTGCAACTAATGACTGTTATCTAAATCTACAAAACTCTAAGTGAAGTAAGGTGAATTTATTTGTTAGAAATGTTCTAGAACAGGTCTTCAGTATGTCCGTCATGATATTTGAGTTGCCTCCGTTAAATTGAGGAGGTTCTGTAGCATAAGGCTCAGAAACCATGCTTCTTACTGAATTCTTTACATCATTTCCAGTCATCATGAGCTGATAGTTCAGTTACAGAGGTTGAATATTCTTCTAGGATAATTAGGTTGCGAAACTGCATGTGCTTGTTCTGAATGTAGATGCCCATAAGAGAGTGAAGGCAACAAGATCTGATTTAGCAGTATTTTATATGCTTTCACACCATAGAAGACAGTCAGGTAAATTATTTTTCAGTTCTCTTGGTTTGTAGTTATTGTTCATAATAATAATAATCCTTGCATTTGATATAGCGCCTTATCACGTCTTCAAGACATCTTGAAGCACTTCACAGAATATACTGTGTTATCCAGAATTACCTCTTTGGATACTAAATTTGAATTTTGAATATTTATTGTGAGGTTCTATCTGAGCAATTTACATTTATATTCCTCAACTTGTTATAAATACTGAACTACTGAATGATTGGACATAGCTATGTCAAACTAATTTTAACAAGGATTATTTGATAAACTATCAAGCTTTGACAATATTTCTATTCAATAGAGCCTAGTTGTGGAGCTAAGGCAAGTGGAGGTCAGTCAGGGGAGTTAAAGATACCAGAAAGCTTTACCTGAAGAGTTTCTCCCAGTGTCCTAGTCAACAATCCCAGATAAAATTGTTCAAACACTTCATCGCTTTTTGTGGGACATTGATGGGACTGCTGTGTTTATCTACAACATACACAGTTACTTCAGTAAATACAGTAAATCCTATGACGAGCTTTGAGACTTTCTCCCGAAATGAAAGGCGCTACATCAAATGCAGAGATTATTATTATTTGATTATAACTTGAGGGAAGATGGGATGTCATGGGGATTACCTTCACTGAAAAATCTGGGTCAGTGGAGGAAAGGAAACTGAAAGATTGAGGAAGTCAACTATGTTGAGTTTATTGCATATCATGTAGCCAAACCAGTCTAAGACTGCACTGGATATGCTTAGAGCAATTGTTCACCAACATTCCTTTTACATACCAAGGTTTATTTGTATTCGTTTCACACACAGTACAAGGCAATTTAGTTATATTGTGTTTAATCTGAAATAGCATGTTCATTGAAAATGTTTTTCAAAATCTTCTGTTGCAGAGAGATTTGCGTGAAAATATAATCCAATCAAACAGTCAATAATCCAATTGTTTCTGAAATCAAGATTATTTGGTTGCAGGTAAGAAAATTTAACATGTGTAAAATATCAGACAAGGACAGTCAATCAAATTCAATAATCTCCTGTTGAGTGATTGATGAATAAATAAATGGGCTGCAATACAAATACATATTACCAAATACTGTAATTTTTCTTCAGGTGCAGCCAACTGAAATCTTGATCAAACATTTATTATGATGTTAGAATTAAAATAAGTTCAATTTTTGATTGATTTGCACAGTTTATTTCTATGCTGTGAGTTTGTAATAATGTAACCACAGAATTGTGTGTTCGTAATGCTTGTAACAGACCATGAAAATAGTCATTTTGTAGATAGCAAAACCAAAGCATAGTTAGAGAGGCTGTAAGATGTGCAGCTCTGAGATTTCAGCATAATATGAATATTCCATAAAGCGTGTCTAACATTTGCTGTGCTCATTATATGCACAGAATGAAAAACAAGTTTGCGTCAGCTGAAACTGTATGGTAAGAATCCAACATATGAATAATTGGTGAGTCGGAAAACTAAATTACAATCCCTCGATCAGTGTGTTATAGACTTTGTGTGTCTCATAAGCTGGTGTCATTGTTCTTGTTTACAGTTAATAAGAATATATTTAACTATAATAACGTTGCTAAAACAACCATTACTTTACTTTTCTTTAAATATCTCTCCCCAGTGTTCACTATTTAATGCAAATAATTTTATGTGGGCTGTGTGACAGTGTGTGTTAACTGTGTTTGGAGTGAAATGAATGCTCACTAGTACAAGTTCATCTTGTCTGGGCTGATGCTCACTCCAAAGAGAGCTGCACTATTTAATTAAATCCCATTCTTCCGATCTTTCTCAATATCGTTTAATATTATTATTTTTCCTAAATATCATTTATAAATGCTTAAAAATGAATTCCACAGTTTAACAAACCTTTCACCTACAAAACATATAGACAATTCACTTTACAGTATATTCCGTGAAGCGCTTTGAGATGTCTAGAATTGTGATAAGGCAATATATCAAATGCAAGGATTATTATTATTAAATCTCTGTGTACATACAGTATACAAATTTACAGTTCTCCCCCTCGCTTTCCACTGGTGATAATCCTTCTGTGAATAGAATCATTAATGGGGGAGAAACACACACACACACCAATATATATATACTGTGAATGAATGAGTCAGAATATAAAAAAGGGATTTGAGTTTGTTGTGAAATATTGGACATCTTGTATACACAGTAGTTTGTCCTTCCTCTTATACCATAACAATTTGGGTTTGCATTAAACTGGAGGTTGAGCCACCAGAGGGCAAAACAGAGAAGACTTCAGAATCTGTGTCCAATGTGGTGGATGAACAGAAAGCAAAAGCAGTTAAGACAAAGAAGTTATGGTGACAGTCTTCTCGTTATGAATACTCTGGGGAACTGTAAGTGCTGCTTCTGAATCTGTGCAGAGAAAGAAAGACAGGGAGATCTGTAAAATACACCCTCTGGGTAGCAATGTGGGGAAAAGGATTGAAGAAAGGGGGCTTCAGTGTTATTTTTCCTTGCAAGCAAAACTTTTTTTTGTAAGAAAAATTAAAGCATTCTGCAAGGCAGCTTTGAACTCATTTGTGCTACCTGGTTGGTAGCAGCAGGGGAGAATAAATATTCTTACAAAAACTATAATTAAAGCAGTCTCCAAGACACCAACAGCGAGCAAAGCCAAGGACACGCGTATCTCCAGCCACGTGGGGAGTTGGAAAAGTGGGGAAGCAAACGTAAACAAATGACAGCTTCTAGGACAGCTGTGACAAGAAAGATTTCCGAATACAGTGCGTTACCACTAAATTTCAAAAACAGATTAATGCAATGTCTTGTTAATGAAGAGAGTGAATGTTTTATTAATAATCCTTGCATTTGATATAGCGCCTAATCATAATTCGCCCACAAAATATACAGTCAATTCACTTCACGTATATTCTGTGAAGCGCTGTGAGATGTCTCAAAGACGTGGTAAGGCTCTATTTCAAATGCAAGGATTATTATTATAATAATAATTTGGGCATTCAGTCCACGACTGTTTGTGGGACACCGCTGTGTGCAATTGTCTGCCGTGTTTTGCCCGCAAAATATACAGTCAATTCATGTTACAACATATTGTGTGAAGCACTTTGAGAGGCACAATATCAAATGCAAGAATTATTATCACTAATATGTTCTTGTTAATATTATTATTATTGATAAACAATCTTCCCTGGTCGTAAAATGAGAAAGAATCAACATGTCTGAAAATTGAAACTTGCTTCACATTTTACTTTATTTTCCTTGAGTTGAGAATAGATACTGCTCGATTCCAATGAAATCTCAGAAGCGCTCAAAATACCTTGACCCTAATCACAACCACATTAAACTCACAGCTGCACTCTGGCAACTCCAGGGCAAACGATCTTAATCCAATCTTTCTGTTTATACCGCATCACATGCTCCTTTCAAAATGCTGTGTGTTAAGTTGTGAAGAGCTAAACTTGATATCCAGCAAGGATAAATTTCTCAACTCTTCTCTCTATCAAGTACCTTGTGTTGCAAACCAATCATTTGAAATTCCTGACTTTGTGAATAGTGCATTAATATTTAATCAACTAATAACTGCGTCTTTCTTTTCTATATAGCTTGTTGGAGTTCGTCTTTGCAGTAAAATGGTTAGCAAAGTCCCAGTTGTGCTCCTGGCCTGTGGTTCCTTCAACCCCATCACTAATATACACTTGCGCATATTTGAGCTTGCCAGAGATCATCTTCATCAAACAGGTCAGTGTCAAAACAGCTTTAAAGTTTCAAGTGTTCTGTGTAGCTTTAAAAATGGTTTCAAAGGAAAGGAAACGCGAGAACTGGAATGTGATATCCAAAGGGAATTCAAGTACAAATGATTCATATTGTTTTTCTACTGAATAGTTATGTATGGAAGCACAGTGGGGAGATCCTCCAATGTATCAGTTTCTGACTCCAAGATTATGTGTTTGGCAATGAATCAAGTCAACCCCCTGTGGCAGACTCGCTAGTGGGGTGAGTCTGCAACACACCAGGGCACATCTGATGACAGAACAGCCAGCCTAGTTCATCGGCGGGATTTAAAGAAGCAAACAGGTCATCGGGAGCATCATGAATTTCCACTCAGCAACTGTTAACCTTGCAAGTCAAAGCTCTAATGGGATCTTGGGTGGTCCTAGCTGGACAAGTGATGGGAAGCTTGCCAGTCAGTGCTCTTATTGGCAAGCAATGCGATTTCAGCTGGTTAAACTGAGCAGTATACCAGCCCACTCTCTGGGAGCCCCAAGCCGTGGACCTTGCCAAGCTGTGCCTAATACCCTCTAGAATTAGAGAAACAGGGTACCTCCAGGCTGAGTGTGCACATTCCATTCCAGACAGGGAAATTTCTGTGATATGGTGGCATACATACTGTAGCTTCAGAAGAGCATGTCCCATTACTAATATAGTATCATTATTTCCTGCAATATTTACTCTTGTGGCCCCTGAGTAAATATTGTGAGCTGTGAGCCGAGCGGAGGCCGCGGGTGGTGGAGGGGAGGTTTAAGGTTGGATAGGTAGGGAGTTGGGAGGGCATGAAGGGAATTGAAAACGAGTGAGAAGATCTTGATATTGATCTGTTCAGTAATTGGGAACTAGTGGAGCCTGGCAAGGACTGGTGTGATGGGGGTACGGAGTTATATGCGGGTGAGTATCCGGGTGGTGGAGTTTTGAATTAATTTGTGCATGTGAAGCTGGGGAGACCAGCGAGGAAGGCATTGAAATAATCCAGCCGGGAAGTACCGACGGCATGGCTGAGGGTTTCAACTGTGTTGGTTGTGAGGTTCGGACGAAGGTGGGCAATGTGTCAGAGGTGGACAATGCGGCGGAGGTGGAAAAAAGCAGTGCTGGTCAGGGAACGGATGTGGGGTAAAAAGGAATTTCTTAAAACGTTTTCTGTGCTCCCAGCAAGGTTAATTTCATAACATATTGTTGTTTCAAGACACACCATCCAGAGATATCAATAAAAAATTGTACCTGTTTTTCATTTAACCATAACATTCGCTTTAAGTAATTTGAAACCCAGGGATTTTGTATATATTCACACCAATTTCATTATTATTTGCTGAATTACAAGTTATGGGACTGTCAGTGTCATTCATCTCCCTGAATCTGCTCCTGAGATATCCAAAGTCTTAAATAAAGATGACTTTGACTGTGAGCTGTTGTTCTTTCCAGTATCTGCTGACTGGCCACATCTTGAGCCTTGGGGTTTCATTATCATATTTCATGCTCATTATCATGTTCGTAATATTCTTTGGGTTGTGAGTGATGAAGACTCGATCCATCTTATTCTTTTCATGTGAAGAATTAAGTTTAGAGTGGCTCGCTCCCTGATGTCTGTCATTGAAGGTACTAGTCTGGTGTGGAACTGACCCATACAATGGAGGAGGGTGTTTAGGTCAATGCTGAGTTAATTGAGCTCAGTTGTATTGACATCAGAGGCATTTAAGTTTGCTTCAGCGGCCTGGGTTAGGAAAGGAGAATAAATCAGCTGTGGTCCAGCTCCTTTCTGTCCACTGATTCCCGCTAGATATTGTGGAGTCCTGTAGCACAGTGGTTAGAGCACTCGCTTTGCAAGCGAGAGACCTGAGTTCAATTCCAGGAAGGGCGAAACCTTGGGCAAGTTTCCTTACTCCACACAGAGCCTAATAATAATCCCTCCAAAACCAAAAACAATAATAAATTGGTCATTTTCAATCCACGACTGTTTGTGGGACATTGCTGTGCGCAATTGGCTGCCGCGTTCGCCCACAAATACACAGTCAATTCACTTTACAGTGTGTTCTGTGAAGCGCTTTGGGACGTCCTCCCGACGTGAAAAGCGCTATATCAAATGCAAGGATTATTATTATGGTTATGTGCACATCATTTGAGGGACCAAAGTTAGGCAGTGCTGAGGTCTGTTTGTGTTCTCATGTGTTGCTTCATTCATGCTCAGAGCGTAGTTGATATCGAATCCTGACCCTTGTGAAGCATCAAAATTATCTTTAAATTTTTAATAACACCCAGTCACACAAGATACTTCCAGGAATAAGGCACTGTGAAAATGAAAAGTCCTATTTAAATGGTAATAAAGTGGTTCAGTCGGAATTCAATAATACCTATCAATCATAGGGTACAGTGAAGTGTTTTGATATATACATTGCAATAGATCTGTATCTATTTCACAATAACTTCCCCTGCAATGATGGAGGCTGTGGCTCTAATACTTTTAACTGAAATGAACAAGACTCTCCAAACCAATTCTTACAGTCTCACCACATTTGGTTCTATACAGTTCTCTGAGGGGCACAAGACATAAGGCAATAACGTCTGCAGCTACGACCCTCCAGAGTACAGAAATATCTATCTAACTGAAATAAAATAAAACTGGAACCATTTTTCAAAAACATAACCAATACAACAGAGTAATAGAGTAGGTGAAGGTGGGCACACACTTGTGATGCCTTTATTTTATTATCAATTATTAACCTGTTTTTTTACTGAGAATAAAGTAGCATTTCCTCCCCGCCAGATTTGATATATCTTTTTTTTTTGGGTGTTGACACAGAGTTTTCTTTTAAATAAAAATACAGTAACTCATTGGAAATAATTGAGACCCTGTTCATCAGATGGAATTATGTCTGTGTGAAGTTGTAACATTCTCTTGGGAAATGTCCTGTTATTTGAAACTGAACTGAAACTATCATGCATGCAAGGATAATGGAGGGGGGCCATATAAATGCAACGTATTGATGCTCTTGTTGTTTAGTACCCAGAGAAAGTGTGGATATCATATGTGGATATCATTCAATTGTCTTGATTGTGACCCCTACAAGTTTATGGTTGAAAGGAAAACATTCAGATTGAAATCCATTCGCTGTACATGCCTTGTTGGAGAGAAATTCCGCCTGTGTCTAGATTTACTCTTATTTATGTAATATATTTGATTTCAGAAATGGGGGAAATTCTTCATTATGAAGCCAGTGCTCCTAAGAACTACTGAAAACTGACTTTAAGGTTAAGGATGAATTCAATAATTTTCCAAATTCTGGAGCCTCCAAAAGGCTAAATAAATGGAGTAAATCTAGACCGAGATGGAATTTGTCATCACATATGTTTTTTAAGGAAACACTCATTGGACAGGCCTCAAAAGAGACGTAACAGGAATGGCCTTGTGCCTGTAATGTAAATGTGCATTCTGACCATTAACAGCTATCAGAGAAGAGATCTTGTTCCCTGCTGGAAGAGCTACGTTCTAATGGCTTTTTCCTGTAAGTGCTGCTGCTTTCTGTGAATCTCGTTACAATGGGCTGTGGTGAAGCTCTGTGTGAATTCATCCACTTGTTACAATGTGCATTGAATTGGATCGGCTTGCTCCAGATTTCATTTGCTGAGTTTAAATTCAAGTCCATGATTGAACCTTGTGATTTGAGCATGTATTCCTTAAAGCTGCTTTACCGGGAGCAGTCCAACTCCCAACACGTTCTTTGTAGCCCAGTGGTTAGAGTGCTTGCCTCGCAAGCGAGAGACTGGGTTCAATTCCAGGCAGGGCAAGTTTCCTTACTCCACACACACGCATCTGTTTACCTAGCAGTAAGTAGGAACCTGTTGGTGGTCGATTGGTGGATTGCTTTTATGGGGATAATAATTCCTTGAAAACAAAATAAGAAATTGGTCACTCAATCCACGACTGTTTGTGGGACACTGTTGTGTGCATTTGGCTGCCGCGTTTCTCCCACAAAATACACAGTCAATTCACTTTACAGTATATTCTGTGAAGCGATTTGAGATGTCTTGAAGACTTGATAAGGCTCTATATCAAATGCAAGGATTATTATTGTCATTGCTGTTGCTTAAACCAGTGCATTCTGTGTAATACCACATAGCAGCCGCATAACTACACATCCAAAATGGCGCCGTTTTGCTTTATAAAGTCACGTGGACTTTATCTCAATTGAAGAGAAGTTCACTTAATCCAAATTGGATTGAACCAAACTTTCACGAAAATGCAACTGAGGTTTTTTTTTGTTTGTCAAAATTTGCAATTAATTCTCTCTGTTTATGGATTTCAAATACTCCTTACCTTAACCCTCTCCCCAGATACTTGCCGTTTCTCTCAGCTTCTGTGCAATTTTTCTCCGGTTAATGTTGACGGTGACACTTTCTTCAATTATTGCATCAATGTGACAAATTGGTTCCCAGTCAGTGATGATAGTCGATGGACTTAACTGCTAAACCCTACTCCATCACACATTAATCAGACATGTTGCGATTAACCAGGGAATGTGCCTGGCCAAAATGAACTCTGCACCTCAAAATGTAAATCGATTTTGCTATTTTTTAAAAAATAAAATGCACAGCCACAGTTTCTTTATGCTAATTAAGCTCCTCTACTCCTGCCCCGTTGCAGGTACCATGGAATTTCCTGTTGGAAGCATTGGTTGATCACATCTCCCCTTGAAACAGTGCCACACTGCTCAGCAGCACCCCTGATCCTTGACCTCCACCGATCCCTCCGGAAATCCTTTTTCTTTGGATTTAAAATTTGGTGTGTTTAATCCCAAACAGACCAGTCATTACATATGTTATCAAATCCAAAGGGATAGATTTTTTTGCACTTTTGAAATGCTTTCAGCTGTATTTGGTTTCAAGATCTGATTCCAAAGTTGTGAAAGGTTGTCAGAGAAACAAATCCAGTAGCATATCCTCTATTTCATTTTGACTGCTTTTTTTGTCAAATAAGATTAAAGGCTTATAATAAAGCACTCAGGTTCCCCTCGTTCACACGCTAATCCCAGTACTCATTAGAGTTGCTGATCCTGAGCCTTATTTGTATATTATTATTGGCACTTAATTACTCTGGAAGAAAATTGTTCCTACTTCTCTTCTCTCCAAAATATGGCACTGCAGGCTGGTGCATGGTTCAGAAACAGTAACCACATGCATGTCAAGCTAAAACTGCTATTGAAAGCTTCTTGAAGTATGAGGACATACTTATGTTTCAAGCCTGCTTTCGACGACTGAGGACCTTGTCTGACTTTACCAGGAGTGTATCCTCAGTGTCAGTTGAGTTCTAAGGGAAACATTGCTTCCCCATTTGGGATGAGAGCATGCTTACAATTCCAAATGCGTTGCCCAACGGAAATTCGTTTTAGCTGTGAAAAGTACTATATTAATGTAAAATTTGTATTATAAGATATTCATTTTATTGATCTCAAAAGAACGAAGGGTGACTGATCTGCTTAGCCCCCACCCACCACCACATCCACTCGGCTGGCTCTGGTCTCCTGCTCGTCCCTCACCCCCTCCACTCCACCATCGGTGCCTGTGCCTTCATCCACTATGCCTCGAAACTCTGAACCCCCTCCCTCAATCCCTCCGCCTTGCCCCCTCCCTCCCCACTTTCAAATCCCAGATAAAAACCTTCCTTGTTGATCGTGCTTGCCTCCCTGCTCCCTCTCCCCCTGGCTCGGTGTCAGACTCCACCACTGCCAAGCCTCTGTGATACTACCCCGCGTGAAGGGCGCTATATAAATGCAAGTTGTTGCTGTTGAAGGGCTGAGTCTGTCCACCAAGATTCACAGAGCCTTCTGATCCCAAATCCAGTGCTCAACTGCGGGCGAGCTACCCAAGACATGAATGTCGTGAGTCAGGAATTTCTCAGCAATTATACAAGTGTTCTGGCAATGGACAAGTGTTCTGGGTGGAGGGCTCCAAGGCAGATCTGCCAGACCCATACTTCTCAGCACCAGGTACAGGTAGAAGCCCAGCATTTGCCTTCGTACATAGAGGGAAGAGTGAGCTTGGCTCACTGTTTGGTTGTTGAGCAGAATTGGCAGAGGCTGGGGAAACAGCTTGATGCTATTTGATTTAGGGCTTTGTTATTCATTCATAAATTATACATTTATTGTACTCTAAGCCCTTTCATGAATTTTCAGAAAACCTGTTGCCAAAATCACTGTTAACAAACAATTTTTAAAACCTATGATATTTACTCCTGTAGTGAAATATATTTGCGTAACAAAAGCCATCGCGGGTGAACTAACATTGACCGTTCGAAATTCTAAGTCGATTTATTTTTCCTCAATGCTTCTGTCCTAGGACTGTTCAAGGTTATTAAAGGCATCATTTCTCCAGTTCACGATAAATATGGGAAGAGAGGGCTAGTGAGAGGGGATCACCGAATTGCTATGGTACAGCTTGCTGTACGCTCGTCAGACTGGATCACTGAGGACGCCTGGGAGTGTGAACAAACTCACTGGTTGCAGACTGTGAAGGTCCTGAGGTAAAAAGGCTCAGATTGTCTGACGAATATAGAGATCAGCATTCCCTGCCTACATTTTGATACACCTATCATCTCTCTGTGTAAAAATAATCCTTGCAAGGTCCTATCTTTCATACCGCCTCCACTTCGTCGCAGCAAACAGCTTCTCCTCCAACCCCCGCACTGTCTCGTGCGGTGTTCCTCGGGGCTCTGTCCTCGGTCCCCTCCTCTTCACCCTCTACATGCTCCCCCTTGTTGACGTCATCCACAGACATGGGGTAAATTTCCACATGTATGCGGATGACGCCCAAATCTACCTCTGCCTCCATCCTGAAATCCAGGACTACTGAGGTCCTGACTGACTGCCTGTCCGACATCAAGTCCTGAACTAGAGACAACTTTCTCCAACTCAACGTCAGCAAGACCGAGGCCCTCCTGATTGGCTCGTGCCAGCGCCTCCGCACCTCAGGCACTGCAGCATCAGCCTCGCACGGCTGCACACTCAACCTCACTAAGCCAGTCAGGTACCCGGGTGTCTTGTTTGACCCTGAACTATCCTTTCTCCCCCACATCCACGCCATGACCAGCACTGCCTACCACCACCTCCACAACATTGCCAGACTCTGCCACTGCCTCACCCCTCAGGCTGCCGAAACCCTCACCCACGCATTCGTCACCTCAAGGCTTGGTTACGGGAACTCCCTCCTCATCGGCCTTCCCAACTCTTCCCTTCACAAGCTGCAGATCATCCAAAACTCTGCAGCTCGTGTACTCTCACGCACCAGGCTCCGTGACCCCATCACTCCCACCCTCGCCCGACTCCACTGGCTCCCCATCCCCCAGAGGGTTGAGTTCAAGATCCTCGTCCTCACCTTTAAGGCCATCCATGGCCTTGCCCCCTCCTACCTCTCTGACCTGCTGACTCCCTATCAACCTGCCCACTCCCTCCGTTCAGCGGGCTCCGGCCTGCTCCATGTCTCCTGCCCGACCTGCCCTACCATTGGTGGCCGGGCTTTCAGTCTCTCTGTCCCCACACTCTGGAACTCCATCCCACGGTCCCTTCACCTCGCTTCCTCCCTTGCCTCCTTCAAGGCCAGTCTCAAGACCCTTCTCTTCGACTGTGCCTTTGGTCTCCCTCCCACCTCTCTGCCTTCCCTCACCCCTATACCACCCTTCCCCGATCCCTGACTGTTCAGCGCTTTGAGACATCCTCCCGACGTGAAAGGCGCTCTATAAATGTAATTTTGTTGTTGTTGTTGCTTAACATAACATAACATAACATAACATAACATAACATAACATAACATAACATAACATAACATAACATAACATAACATGTAGGAGCAGGAGTAGGCCATTTGGTCCTTCGAGCCTGCCCCGCCATTCAATCATGGCTGATCTTCTAATCTAACCAACTTCTGTCAAACTAAGGAGCAAACTAAGAGTGGGAGAACTAGTTTTAACTCAAATCCAAATCAAATGTTTTTTTATTGGTCCAGGAAATTGATGAATTGCTGAATTAGCAACAAGCAAAAAAGTAGACTTCCAAAACAAAGCTCCTCAGTTGTTGGGAATCAAAGCTGCTTTAGAGGCTTATCCCAGTCTCGTAGACATCGGTCCTTTTCTTGGGAGTCAAACAAGCAATGATATAACCATTGTGACTGATGGTGAGAATAATTAATCATGGCCAACATTAAGATGTGCATCAGATTCTTGGCATTATCACTGCACTTAATGTCTGAATGGAAATGAATTTTGCTCCACGGTAACTGACATTGGTTATAGATGCAAAGGTACCTGCAGCATTGTTTCATTCTTAGCTCTGTCTTCAAACCAGAAATGGTTTTCTTTCATGAAGAGATTGTGTCAAGATTAACAGTATTCACAATCAGAAGTCAAAGTGATGTAAAAATAGAAAGCAAAGATTTTGTCATCAGGAATATCAGGCCCATGGTTCCTCTTCAGGGGAATTGAAGCTGAGATGATTCTATCTTCACAAAATTTTGAACAAGATGTACTCAAAGCAGGGTTTCGAAGATTGTATTGAGTAATGGGAACCCTTTCTGATTTTCCCTTCAATAACCTGGGGCCCTGGGGTACACTATAGGACCTCTACAGCTTTCTAGCTGCAAATCCATACCAGAAATTGAACCTCCAATGTTCTCTGTCTCTATAAATTCACACCAAAATAACTTCCCGAGTTATTCGGGAAACCCCTGTTTGCAACTTTAAACCTAAATGCAGAGGCACAGGGCTGCAGAGGTAATTGCTGATGTGTTCCTGTAATATATTCACAGTGCAATGAGGTTCGAGGTTTATGGACTACATAAGAAATTAGCACTGAATTCAGGGTTGGTTATCAAACTATATTTAGAAACTGTTCTGTGGTTTTATTGTGATATAATATGTGACAATAATCATTGCTTACTTTATAAGATTGTGTGTGTACCTGTATAGGAATAAGAATCACTGAAGGGAAATTCTGCGCTTGGTGCATTGTTGAGTTTAGTAACTGGTTTGGTGAACAGAGAACTGTGTATGTGTTGTAGTGGCATTAAGAGGTGATAGCCACTAGAGGGTATCATGTGATTAGACTGAAAGTTGGAGAGAATAAGCATTGGCGACAGCCATGTTAGGAATTAAAGCGAATAGTCTTCCTGCTCATTCTATTGCACATCTGTCAGGTGAAACCTTAAGTTTCCAATGACAGTAAACATAGTGAGAAAAATATGGTCTTACATATATTTAAACAGGATTAGTTTCCATTGTCAGACTATTTCTCTTGAAACTCTTCTTTCCAGCAGTGTAACTTTAACAAATATGCTACTGGTCAGCAAATTTAAAACTGAATCAGTTAATGTTAGCAGATAGCGAAGCACCAGTCCAAACTCCATGACGTCTGAAAGTGTCACTTCTTCTGCTTCAGATAGGATACGTCTAATCAGTCATCTAAATAATAACTGTGCCATCTTGTAGATGGATTGAAAGACTTTCGATGCTGATCTAGTATGTCTGTGTCTGATTCCATCTGTTTGTATAACAGTCTAAAAGACCCTCTATAGCAATCCCTTCCCATTAACCAGGCATATATTCCCTGATTTTAAAAATGCAACATTTTACACATTTGCCTGCGGATAAAGAGTATTGCAATTACACATTTTCAACATAATCATATTTTCAACATGGACAATTACATATTTATAACATAAATAAAATTGTGTACATTATTTAGCATGGTTGAATTAAATATTTCCCTCAATGACATCTGCTTCGGAAGAGTTTACTACGAATGAATATGTTGGGGAGACAGTGCTCACATGAGAAATACTGGGAAAATGTAACTCCCGCTTATGTAAAATCTCTTATTTAACTTCTGAATTTATTTTTTCTGTAAAGAACTAATTAAAGTTTGAAGTGGTCCCTTGTGCTCCTTGCTGAGAATCTGTGTGGTATTAATTGAAAGCGTGACTAAATCTGCTTGTGCATCTTTGATAGGATTATAATAAACAGAGGTCTTGCTGTATTGCCTTCTCCTTTGTTTCATTGCAGGCACCATCACAATGCATTACTTCATCAGCATCGAATTATGAACGGAACAGCTCCCGAAAACAGACAGTTCTTAAAAGAGGAACACTGTTCAGATTCATCCCAGTCTATTTCAGGTGTGGATCCCATGGGATGTTTTATTTTCAAACAGACACTCAGATGTGGAAAAACACATCCTAAAGTTCCATTCTACAAAGGTCACTGTCAAGTCCTGTGAAGGATGGGACAGTGCATTGTTTGAGCTCTGATGGGCAGTTTATCTCAGTTGGTAGATGTTTGCCTCCTAGTTAGAAAATTGTGGGTTTGAGCCCCACCCCAGAATTTGAGTGTGTAAAGCAGAATAAGCACCGTCAGAAATTATTGCTAGTTGTTCTGGCCTTGATTTGGAATCACTTGATAAAAAGGTATGAATTATGGTGCTTGCTTACTACAACATGATGACGAAACAAGCCAAGGCACTTGCATAACATACTTAATACATTTTAAATGTAAACTCGGAAATTAAACTCCATTTGAATTTCGTTACCAGTGCACAAGGTTGAATGAAAGCGGAACATTGAGAACAAATAGTATATTGATATAGAGTGAATTCGCCAGTTACTTCCAGGCAGGGCGAAACCTTGGGCAAGTTTCCTTACTCCACACGCCTAATAATAATCCCTCCAAAAAAACAAAAACAATAATAAATTGGTCATTTTCAATCTACGACTGTTTGTGGGACATTGCTGTGCGCAATTGGCTGCCGCGTTCGCCCACAAATATACAGTCAATTCACTTTACAGTGTGTTCTGCGAAGCGCTTTGGGATGTCCTCCCGACGTGAAAAGCGCTATATCAAATGCAAGGATTATTATTATTATTATTATTACTTCATCTTATCTCTGGCCCGAATCATGGATTTAATCCGTGCCAGCAACAGTTTGGTCTGTAAATATCACAGCATTTTTACTGTCATCTAAACATTGAGTTTATCAGACGGAACATTTGCCTGATGATCTTTTCTTAATAGTATGGGAAAGGCTACAAATTGAGACGGTGTTAATTTGTTACACAAAATGCTATAGTGAAGGTTGAGGCTTTATCAGGAATCCTTTGCATGGATTTCTGGTGTAGATCAGACACCCAGCTGACCTAATAATTGCTTCTCACTTACCGTATATTTAAGCGCGAATTCAAACAAAAGTTTTTTTTTGTAATAATACGCCCCCCCCCTCCCTCCCCTCAAAAATAAAATCTTCCTGAATGGGTTATTCTTGAAAGACAAAAGTAGCTGAATTTTAGAAGTCTAATTAGAAAGCGGAATTTAATGGACAGTTTGTCACACTTTTCAGTCACACTACATTACGCTTGCGGTCAGCTAACAAATAATGCTGTTCGACGATTGAATTGTAAGCATCAGTCCAGTGAAGGAAGTCCCTTTTTGCCCCACTTTCCTTAGTTGACCATAAAACCAACGGATGTTTGTGCTACTGCTGTACTTTTTTTCTGCAGTTGCCTTTTTAATTTCAGTATTCTTTTCAATGAATGATGAAAAAGTCTCACTTCAAAACTGCCTTTAATTATTCACCCAGATATCAATGTGTCTATAATGATGTTAAATAACTTGCCCAATGAAGATGAGGCTTTAAAACTCAATATAATCTCAGCAGTTATTTTGATGTATTTTGGTCATTTTGAAAATGAAATAAATTTACAATCCACTCATATTTTTCAGTGTTTTTGCTTCAGAGTTCTTCTCTTGTGTTAACTCTATTAACTGCAGTACTCGGTACTTCATTGTGATGCAGGTGGTGTCACGTTGGGGCAGAAATAGTAGAACTTCATTTTATGGATTAAGATCAAACCATAAATGTTTCTTTTAAAAACTGACAGTGGCATGAATTAAATGATTCAGTGTGCAAATGTGACTTATATTTAAAGTCACCTGGGCAGGAGCAAATGTTGAAATTGAAAATTGAGGCAGCAGTGTATTTTATAGCTCCTGTCAGTTTTATATACAGTGAATGGATTTTTTGTTGCACTTTGGTGCTGACTTGCTATTATTCACGAAGGGCTGGTGACTCCCATGCACCTCATATAAGAATAAAGTTCTAAGTACCTATTTACAGTGTATTGTAGAGGTAAGGGGGTTAAAGTGACTTGACGAATGCAGCAATGAACAAGATAATGCGGAGGCATTGGAACTCATGAAAGACCTTTAACTTTGGGGAAAATAAGCTGGGTTTCCTGATTGACCTCCTCCCCCCTCTCCCCTGCCTTACAGAAAAGTCTGCAATTGTGGACATCAGATGAATGAATGTGACATTCATCCAACAGTCCAGTGACCTGCTAGCACTCACTGCCAAGGCTAACTTACGCGTGACAAATGTACTTGGGAGAGGAAGCTGAACTCAATCTTGAATCATTGTGTTCAGATGAAATGGGGGTGATAATTGGGAAAAACTAAATTAGTTTCTCGGAAGGAAATCATTGGAAGCAATTTTGATGATCAAGAAGAACATGTCATGTGGCACGAGATGAAAAATAAGACTTTTCAGATGTGTATTGTGAACAAAACGTTTCAGAGGAAAGAAATTAATTTGTGAAAATAATGAAGGTTCGACAGTCAAGTGGCTGGAGATGTTTCTCATTAATTGGTTCCACTTACAAAAGTAAATCTGGGCGAATGGTGCTTCAGGGCACATTATGTGTGGAGAAAACTGATTGAATAATATACTTAAAAAACACATTATACAATTTTTGCAATGTAAATGTAAACATGCTTACCAGAATTTCAGTTTATTGCGATTTAACCTTCTTGAGTGACTACAAAGGAACTTACACAGGGACCAATAGTAACAAGAGATTAATAATAAATAATAATAATCCTTGCATTTGATATAGCGCCTTATCATGTCTTTGAGACGTCTGAAAGCGCTTCACAGAATATACTGTTAATTGAATTGACGGTATATTTTGTGGGCAAAATGTAAGGAAGGTTTCACTGTATGTATGGATAATGTGTCAATGAATAAGAGTTTTATTATGAATCTGTAAATTAAGAATCCTAGATATATGCTTATTGGTCAAGATACATCACTACCAAAGTTGAAAATAAATGAATTAAGAAGCGGAGGTTAGGTGATACCAATCTTTGTTTTAAAAGTCCATAGATTGGAAGAGCAAGTGAATAAGAGAGATAAGGGTTCCTGAGGCTGTAACTCCTTGGAAATACTGACTTGGAATAACAGGCAGTGCATTCAGTTTTGATAATAATAATAATAATAATAATAATAATAATCCTTGCATTTGATATAGTGCTTTTCACATCTTCTAAACGTCTCAAAGCGCTTCACAGAATATGCTGTAAAGTGAATTGACTGTATGTTTGCGGGCGAAACGCGACATCCAATTGTGCACAGCAGTGTCCCACAAACAGTCGTGGATTGAAAATGACCAATTTATTATTGTTTTTGTTTTTTGGAGGGATTATTATTAGGTGTGTGGAGTAAGGAAACTTGCCCAAGGTTTCGCCCTTAGTGAAGTAACAGCATATTCACCCAAATGCAACCTCTGGGAACCCTATGGTGAACACAGCAGTAGCGTTGCTGGAGCTGCACAGCTTACTTTCAATATATTTAAAGTGCACAATGCTGTTCAGAAGAGCAACTTAGAAGTCAATGCATCGTCCCTTTCTCTCCCAGTCTCCACAGGTTGATCTCAACACAATACGAGACAGGGAAAAGACAGAGCCACAAATTTTGTTTGCAAATCAAACTTGAAACATACTAAAATTCAGTCTGGTTGAATAGTCCATTAATAATGTTTTGTGTTCTTTGTGCAAACAGCAAGATCAGATGAAACATATGACATGACGCTGTTTGGCAGCTTTCTTTCATGAATTTCTGCCGAGCTGAGTTTGTGATTATCCCTGATTATAATGGTCACGAGAAAACTCTTTGACGAAAGCATTAGCAATATAAAAGTGCTGGGGGTCGCTCATGTGGATTTCCTCTACATGTGGGGCAACCAGAGTTGCTCAAACACTTGAAGAGAGCTTTGCCAACTGGTAAAATCATTGTCCAATTTTATAAACTCTAGTGGGCACAATGATATGATTAGTGACTGTATGTCACTGAAGCTGTAAAACTCAACCAATATTTTAATTATTTTCTTCTTTCCCCCTGTTATGTCATCCTGTGTAACTTCCACTATTCCTCTCACTAACAGTATGTTGTCTGATCCCTCCACCAATGTTGTTCTGGTATGGTCATTTGTAATGGTTGACTTTTCTTCTTTATGGATAAGTACCTGATTTCCGATCTCACAGTGATACCATACATGTCGCTCTGTGGAGTTCCACACTTTTGGGCTGAATTAGTTTTTAACTTTTAAATGAAAATGTATCTTGGTGGCCAACATAGTTAAAGAGAAATAATAATAATCCTTGCATTTGATATAGCATTTTATCACGTCTTTGAGACGTCTCAAAGCGCTTCACACAATACACTGTAAAGTGAACGACTGTATGTTTTGTGGGCAAAACGGCCATAAGCTGAAAATGAAAGAATGTTAAGATCATTAAAGAGGATAATGAGAAGAGATTGAGAAATGTCTAAAAGGGCTGAGCAAATAAATAAGAACAGAAAAGTGTAGTAATGAACTCAAAGAAAATAATGATATTGAACGGGTGTACTAAATCATCCTAACTGATTTTCCTGCTATAGGGAAGACAGTGTGAAATACCCATTCCCAGTCTTGGTTAGTAAATAAAGGTTACATACCTGTGTTAAATGATTTACAATAAAAAGCTGTGATGACAAAATTGATTTCGCTGAAGACTCCCATAACTCTCCTAACTGAAGTATTAATGGACCTTCTGATGCTGACTGACCTACTTGGATATCCAACCTTCTCTGTTATTAATCTAATTATTGTACCTTTGAAACAGATTGTTTCCAGTGAAGTGCACCTCTCGGGCTCCTTGGTTAAGTTTGTTTATCTTTGTTTATTTTACAGCAATTTCACATTGTAGTTGGCAAAAATTGATGAAAACATATACGGTTATCGTTTTGAAACAGATTGCCTTCTGTAGCTAAGCTTGTTCTAAAGATGCATTCGTTGATACATAGGTTTTGTGTTTGTTTTTTGCAGTTCTGCCACAGCTAAAGTTGCTTTGTGGAGCAGACGTTTTGGGAACATTTCACATTCCGAACCTGTGGAAAGATGAACATATTGAGGAAATAGTTGGAAAATTTGGCATGGTTTGTATTAGCCGTGATGGAGCAGCCCCACGGAGATTCATTTATGAATCCGATATCCTCTTCAAACACAGACGTAATATCCACGTGGTGAGGGAGTGGGTGCAGAATGATATAAGTGCCACTCATATCCGCCGAGCTTTGCGCAGGGGCCAGAGTGTGAAATATTTGGTCCCAGATAATGTTATTGACTATATTAAAGAGCACAATATATACACTGTGGAAAGTGAACAGCAGAATATAAATGAGATTTTACAGCCACTGAAATCCCAAGACGACATGATAAGCCCACTAAATGATTAATTGAAATAATGATCAAATTTTGCAGGAGTTTTCATGTATTGTAATTCAAAGTTGCTTGAAAATACATGTTGTAAACATAATTACGGCTTGCAGGATTTGTGTTTTTAGGCGATAGAGAGAAGGAATTTAGTGAGGTGGTTACCTGTTTTCTCTCTCTCTTTACTCTCTTTATGTATTAGTCATGCATGTGTTTATCTTTGTCACTCCTGCTATCAGAATATTGCAGAACTTTACATTGATTTAACGGGCAGGTGATTTTGATACTAACATTTTAATTTGAATTCTATTCAAGGTCTTTGGTCAAAGCACTCTTTTCTCAGAAGTGCAACTCCCAAACTGCCTTTGAAAAGTATGTTATCTTCATTTGTCAGTGTTTCATTTGTGCTCCCATCATTGGATTTAAAACCAAAAACTATCTGACTAAAATTCTCTGGGGTTGGGAGGAAGAGGATGGTTGGAAAGAGTTAATACTGAATCAGCTCCTAATTATAATGGAATTTTAGCAAAATTATTTTTTTCTTCATTTGAACTGAAGGTTTCCATTTGTAAATGTAAAATCCATTATAGTTCGATGGGAATAATTAAAGGAGATTTTTCATGACTTAATTCAGACGACTGGAGGGAAAGATGGCAATGGAGAAGAAAATGCTGGAGTAAGCAATTCTGAGTTGCTGCAGATGTTAGGCTGTTAAGAAACACATAAGCCAGTGAATGATGTTCCATGTGAAGAGAGTTCAGAAGGGTAAGACTGGAAGAGATAAAATAACTTAAGATGAAAGCTCACAGGCTGTTATATTCAGAATCCTGGTAGCTTTGGAAGAACATTTTTCTCCAGTAATCCTGTCCACTATTTACCGCAAATTGCACTGATTCATCCCGTAGTTGTGGAGCAATGTTATTGAACTTTGTTGAACTTTATTGAACTTAATGAACTTTGCAAAGAATTCTGTAAAGCAAAGGCCTTATCCCAAGTTACAATTATAGTGCAATGAAGCAAATACACTACACGGACTATATATAATTCCCACTCCAAGGATAATGAAGCATAAAATATGTCTTGATTATTTCATCTATACTAATAAAACGACAATGTCTGTGTGTGTGTCAGCCAAGCTCTCAATAACCAGTTGGCGTAGAGACATGATTTATACCTCATCGGAAAGGTCTTCCATCTGGGCGTGTCATTGGCATATTTGTTTTCGGGGATCTCCTATCGTTGGTGAGCTATGTTAAAGAAAAGCCCCAAAATATGAGCTACTAGCTATACCCGATGCATGGTATTCTGCACAAAGTAGCGACAGGAAATCACACCGTTCTGGAGGCATTGGGAGAGGGACAGAGAGAAGGAAGGAGGGAAAAGAGTGGTGAAAAAAATTTCAATCCTACATTTTAGGAATGAACTCTCCCCTCACCCCCCCAAAAAAAGTACACTTTGATCTAACCTGTTGAGACCTACAATATCCTGGATGGCGGTCAACAAAGTCTTCACAGTTTAATGGCTGTTTCTGCGATATTGCTATATGTGATTCGGTTGCCACATTTACCCACAAAATACAGTCACCACACTTTACAGCAAATCCTGTGAAGTGCTTTGGAAGGCGCTCTTGAACTGAAAGATGTCATATTAAATTGAAGGACATTTTTTAATTCGGTGATTCAAAAAGCGTATTTGAGATTGTGTGACTGTTTACCTTTCTTTGTTATCATTGACTGTGGCGTTGTTAGGTTTAGACTGGTCACAATGATGTGATGCTACAGTAAAAGTATTAACTATAACGTAGTAAAATCATCTGTTGTGTTTTGTAAGATATGGAAGTGGTGCAGAGTTCTGCCATAACAACTCACTTGAACAACAAACCTTGTTTTGGACAATATTGTAGCCCGAATTTGCTTTTTTCTCAGTTTCTGCTTTGATGCAAAAACCGAGAAAAGCCCATGAAGGCAACAAGTGAACGTTCATGTGGTCAGAGATAAGAAAGTGGAATAGGGTCAGATTAAGTGCAACATCTGCAGTTCTTATTTTGTTAGATAAGACTGGAAAACCATCAACTCTATAGGTACAATCGGTTAAGGAAATGTTCCTGTGCTGCTTATTTACACTGCATTAATATTATAATAAATGCAGTAATTTAATGTTTTAAAAAAATGCAGCAATCATACTCTTCCATCGTTAGTTATAAAACCAGTTGCTTGGCAACATCAATCTCCAGCCACGAAATGAGCAGAGCAATCCCTATATATGCTTGCGTCTTCCTAATGAAATCACGTTAACCGTACTGAGACCTGTTACTGAGCTTTGATTGCAGTTGCATCAAACTATTGGATGACACACTTTAGTTAAAGGTAGCAAATCTCATAATGTCACAAACCAGTATTCTGTACTGTACTTTGCGATCCATTACTTAGCCTATTAAAATTGCATAATTTTTGTTTGCATTTGATATAGTGCCTTTCACATCAGGTTGGTGTTTGAAAGTGCTTCACAGGATTTACTATAAATTATAGTGATTGGGGTATTTTGTAAGGTGAACACGGCAGTCAATTTGCACACAGCAGTGTCCCACAAACAGCCATGAAGTATATGACCAATCTTATCTGGGAAATTGTTGGCCAGGACACGGAGAGAAACTTTCTTCTTAAATAAATCCTTTCCATATTTCCACTATTAACTCATTAAAAACGAATGAATCAAAGGTCATGTTTGAACTTGATCTTGTAAAACATTTTATAGCTATACACTGTCAGGATGTTATAATGTTAACTGCTTTGATATTAAAAAAAATCTTTGAATCCAATCTTGTCACAATTCCGTTTATTAAAGGTTAACTTTTTCTGCATCTGTATAAAATGAGATGAAATATTATTGACTGAGATTTTTGTACTTTTGGGCTGATTTACTTGCTCTATGATTTCCTCACACACAAAATTACAATGATAAAGGATAGAGGGAGTCCTGTGTAAAATTGGACTGATTTCTGAAGCCTAACTTCTAATGGGCTACTTGTAACACTTGGAGCAAGATTAATCATTTCAGTCTCCTGCATAGTTACATAAATGGTCCAGATTTAAAACTCCAACATTTTTCTTATGGATCTCCCAAGAGTTCAACTGGGTTTGACTTGAGCAAATCTTTGATAGATGTAATTTCACACTTTGTTTCCTTTACGCATTCCTTTATGTCAGACAGCGGAAAGCAGTACTGGGTAAGAGGTGCGGGTGGGAGAGGAAATGTTGTGAATTGCTGTTTAAAATATATTCCTTCACTTGACTGAAAACTTCTGAACTTTAAATGTTGGTGCAGCAGCATTTCAAACTAAGCAATGGCTGCAGTTTTCCTTGGAGGTTCCTTATCGCAGTGGATAACGACATTTAAACACTTTGATGGTCCTCCTGACATGAAAGGTGTTCATAAATGTAAATTGCACTTTATCCAGCTTCTAAATAACAAAAATGGAACATGTTCGCTGTGTGTTGAGTTAGTTCAAGACTCCTAAAAAACAAAGCATTTTACTTGGCAAATTTTTGTGCCATCAAACTAGAGCATTATCGGTTATGATTGGAAGCAGTCGAGGAGAAATCTCTTACCGTGAATCACCTTGTCACACTGACCGAAATAAGTTGTGTGGAAATAATTGGTCATGTGGCAAAAGTTGAGTTGTGTAATTAATGTGGATTTTAATTAGATTCGACAAGGATATAGCACTTGATCCACAAAGCAAAAATAAGCTATTTTATGTTTCTGTGTGTTGGCCCCAATTTGAGAAAGAAACATATGGCAATGGACTCTTGCAAAATTGAGTGTTCTTTCAACATTGTTAGATTGGAAACATTACATTACTTTAACCTGCTCTATGAATTAATCTCAGATCTTCCTCGATTAGCACTGTTATTGGAGGAGAGGAGTGAAGGGAGGCTGTTGCTGGTATTATTGCTTTAAAAATGTTTCACATGGATTTAGTGAGACACAGTGGAGAAATTTGAACTTTGTGCTCTAGTAGTTATATTTTCAACAATGGTTGATTTACTAGAATTACTAGGGAGTGACTTTGTTGATGTGTATGGCACTAATTCGGAATAGGGCCATTCAAATCAAAATGAGTTGGTAGCAATGAATAATTCTCTAAATAAATATCCTACTGTCAGTAAACCGTGGAATCCTAGTACCTTTTTATTGTGGAGTCCTGTAGCTCAGTGGTTAGAGCACTCGCTTTGCAAGCGAGAGACCGGAGTTCAATTCCAGGCAGGGCGAAACCTTGGGCAAGTTTCCTTACTCCACACGCCTAATAATAATCCCTCCAAAACCAAAAACAATAATAAATTGGTCATTTTCAATCTACGACTGTTTGTGGGACATTGCTGTGCGCAATTGGCTGCCGCGTTCGCCCACAAATATACAGTCAATTCACTTTACAGTGTGTTCTGTGAAGCGCTTTGGGACATCCTCCCGACGTGAAAAGCGCTATATCAAATGCAAGGATTATTATTATTATTATTATTGTAACAGAAATAGTTAATTGTTTCTTCCAAGAGTAAATGCCTGAGTTTCAACAGCTTCCTTGGGGAAATAGATGTACATGATAAACATGATTCTTTTTGAAGAGGAACAAAATGACAGGATATGGGGAAAAGAATGGGTAATAGGATGAAACTCTATAGCACTATGGAGGTTAGTACAAGGGACACTTCATGGCCTGAATAGCCTGTTTTGTGCTGTATTCCTTTGAATGTAATGAAATAAGGAAGATATATAAAAACGAATACCAGACAATCTTCAGTTCAAAGAGCTCGTAAAATAAGGTGGAAATCCATCTCATTTTGTCCCCAATGGTCCTATTTTTCATCAAACAATGTATGCATTAAACTGTATAGGTAGTTCTGATCTATAATGGTTAATATCTAAAATAAATTACTATTTTTATAGAAAATGAACAGGGTGAAGGAAATCTCACCGTTGTCAGCTTCAGCTCCTCACTTCAACTTGCGATCAAAAGGAGAATACACGGTAATGGCCAGCATTTAGACAGGTGTAATCAATTGATAAATTGTTTTTCCTATAGAAATAAGTCTGTTTACAAATCCATTTCCATCGGCTTTAGCTTGAATCGAGACAATAAATGAGTATTCGCTGACATTTGAAACTATAGTTAGTGATGGACCGAATCATGCTTTTGATAATGACCCTAGCTTTAAGTTTTTCCTAAAACATTCTAAATGTAAAGTAACTTTTCACACGTTAGTGGATGTGTGAATTAAATAAAACTCTTATTCACAGTTTCACGAGTTCCAATGTGTTAGCTGTATAAACATTATAATACTCATTTACATAAAAGGTGGACTTATTTAATGTTTATAATTTTTTTTCTCCCCATCCTATGACATAATTCTGAGAGTATCACACCTTGTGACCACAAACATGATAGGAAGTTTGGAAGTGCAATTGAAATTCCAGCCCGAGTCATAAGAAAAAGTAACTTGTCACAAAGCTAAAGCAGATTTGGTCCTAATTTGAGAAACAACCATGTGGCACAATGAAGAAAAGATGCTAAGGGTTTGTAAAGAGATACCATGGAAGAGTAATAAAAATATTGAGGACCGACATGGGCTATTTTCTAAGGAAAGGTAATGTGTTATGGTGTGATATACATGCTTAGCTCCCTTGTTATGGGATCAAACAGTATTACAGTGTAGAGTTTTTTATTTTGAAATGTGTTGTTGTGCTGCCTCTTTATTCTATCCATAATCAGACTACTAGATATTAAATGCATCATCACCACAAGGTCACCTCCCTAAACTACCTGGGATAAATGTATATATACATCTCTACAATATCCTCAGGATTGACACCTGCCCAACCTCTACATCTGTAGGTAATACATTTTTATATATATACTTAACCACATTTGTCATCATAATTGAAGACCCATTTGCCATTAGTTCAAGAAGCCATTTGACAGGACATCAGGAAGAGTTATAGCAGTGTCAATGGTAGCAATCGTGCATGGATGACAATATATATTTTATGTATTAAAAAGGTAAGTAGCCTTGACCTGAATTGGGCCTTTTCAATAAGTTAATGCATCCAATTAATAGATCCGTTTTAGGTCATTTGGGGAATCGGAATCCAGTATGGGGAATCCCATTCCTCATCTGTGATAGCCCTGTTCATCTTGCACTTAGAAACTGTGCTTGAATATGATTTCAGTCATAAGTCACTAACAGATGCTGAATAATTTTTATGAAGGATTAGGAATTATTCTGTAATTGTAAAGTAATGTACAGAGCTGCGAGGTTCTTTGTTTTAAACATTCCATTATCCCATTTGTAGTAAGAAAGTGACAATGAACCGGGAGTAAATGTGCTGCATGGCTGAAGATTGTGATGGAGCCAAGATGATGGAATGAGTTCCAGCTGGAAAACGACTGGAGGTCTAAGTAGTGAGACTGCCTGCGGGAAGACAATGTAAGGTAAATATTATGAAATGTGAAGTGAATGTGATTCACTAAAATGTGAAGTACTGAAATACGAAGTAAGTGTGAGGCAATAAAAAGTGAAGTGAATCTGAAGAATTAAAATACGAAGCAAATGTGAGATATTGCAATAAAAATGGTGAAATGAATGTAGATGTGAGGCATTTTACAAAGAGAAGTGTCACAATGCATTCTAGGGTTAGGGAACTGAAAGTAGGGTAACAGCATGTGCACAGATAGGGAACGGAAAGTGGGAGAGAAGTGATACAATATTTTACAATGAGAAATATTGAAGCTAGGGAATGGAAAGTGGGATGGAAAGCACATGGGACGATCGCTGTGAGGTGCTCTGCAGGAGATAAAGTCCAAGAATAAGGTTGAAGTAAATTTAAAACACATGAACGGGATGAAAACAGGACATAGAAACAGAACAAAGACAGAAGTGAGAAGAACAGACGGAAGAAGGACGAAAGTCTAGAGGCACTTGCGGTCCCCAAAATACGGAATACGGAACAAGTTAGGGATAAAGAATAGGGAGCAAGAAAGAGAATCGGTGCACTTGGGGAAAGGAGTTGAGGTTTGTGTCGGGAACTGTTGACTGACGAGAGGTTTTAATAATATTAATCCTTGCAATTGATACAGTGCCTTATCACGCCTTCATGATGACTCAAACCACTGCACAGAATATACAATCAAATGAATTGACTGCATATTTTGTGGGTTTCTGTAGAACGGTATCTGTTTATTGAGGCCTAGCAGTTCTTATCGTACAAGATTGTGTGTTGTAATAAAGTTCTTTAGGCTCAAGAATTCTTAAAGTACAAGATTGCATATTGTACTAAATTTCTTCTATTCTTAGATCACTGCAGTAATCAGGAAATTCTGTTTGTAGAGTGTTACTTGAGGAATAAAGAAGAATCGACGATAGCACAGTGAGATGTACGTACGGTGTGAAGGGCGCTATAAAAATGCAAGTTGTTGTTATTATGGTCAATAAAAATGCAAGTTGTTGTTATGGTCAATAAAATGTTGTGGGTAGTTCTTGAGATGGCTTTGACTGGGCCCCTTTCTTCCTGATGGAAGACAAAAGGAAGGTATTTGGCATCCATGTTAGCCGGGTTATAATGATTGACATCTGTCAATAATATTCTATTGGTACTTTCTCTCTGAGTTCTTCTTTAATTGACACAACCTTAAATGAAGTTGTCGCAAGATCTCTGTATTAAAGGAATCTACTGTACAATGTGTAGCAGTGGATTAGAAAATATTTCCAATCTAGGATTCAATCCGGGCGTCTATGAATCAATCAATTGTGTTACTGTGTTTGTGTGTGTGTGTTTGTGTGTGTGTGTTTGTGTTTGTGTGTGTTTGCCAGCACGAAGCAAGATCCGCTAAAATACCATTCCGATTGGGGGAAGAAAGGGGATGGGGGGGGGGGGGGGGTGGGGGGATGTGGGGGGTGGAAACATTTACAGCCGAGAATGGGACAATGAAGATGTTTGAGCAAGCTGTTTTATTTAATAAGCACCATTGATTTCAGCTAAAGGGCTTTCCGAGCTCGTCTTGCGTTGAAAACTCAATGCAACATTCTTCAATTAATAGGATTAAAGGGCTCGCTCTCACATCGTAACCACCAGGCAGATAAAGAGAGTAAGACCAGAGTCTCTACGCTTCAGAGGATTTGTGGGCGGTGGGCTTTGAACACAGTGTGTCAGGGTCGCTTCTCGAGCAACAGCTTCTCAGATTTCTTTGGGAAAAGTTGGGAGAGAACTTGATTTCCAAAATGCCAGTAAATTACAGTGGCTACTGGAGAATGCAATCCAATGAGAACTTTGAGGAGTACCTCAAGGCACTAGGTAAATAAATACTATTTCATATTTTTTTTTGGCTTCAGCACTAATAATTCGGTACTTTGGCACTTTGTGAAATAACACCACGTTTTTACTCGGTTATTTTTCTTTTGTGTTGTTTATTTTAACATCAATTGTTATTGTTTTTTTAAATGCACTAAATAAGCAAATTGAAATAATGTATTTGTTTAAAAAAATTCTATATTTTTTAAAATAAAATATAAGTGGGGGGTGGTGGGGGGGTTGGAAATACTGTCCTGTTATTGTCTTTCGACTGTTGGAATTTCTTGTGGATAAAGGGGACGGGGGTGGAAGGAGTTCCTGCCAGTTTGTGAAGGTTGAGATGTGGTTGAAGATTTGATACCAAACTTTAGTGGAAAAGATTGATTTCACATAAAGTTGCCCTTTTTTTTCTGGAAATAAAATATATAAATCTCACTTGTTATGTGTAATTCAGTTACTGTGTCGTGGAGAAGCTGGTGTTACTTTGTTTTATTATTTTAATTTCTCTCTATTTTTTTCTCTTTCTATCTCTCTCTTCCTCCCTCAATCCCCCCACCCCAATCACTAACCCCCTTCCCGCAGATGTAAATGTTGCTTTGCGTAAAATCGCAGTTCTACTGAAACCCGACAAAGACATTTCCCAGACTGGAGACCGTGTGGTCATTAAAACCATCAGCAGCCTCCGCAACTATATCATGGAGTTCGATATTGGCAAAGAGTTTCAAGAGGATTTGAAGGGGATTGATGATCGTCTGTGCAAGGTAAAGCCACAGAGCGCACCTCGTCCCAAGGCGATTGGGTTGATTCCAGTTCGGATGGAGTTGTGCTAACGTGGGTTTGGGCAAATTTCTCCTCCCAAAACTCCTCATTGATCAATGAACAGTGCTGGGAGCTCTGCGAGTTTGGGGACTAAAGGAATCGTGTCATAATAATAATAATATAATATTATAATAATAATCCTTGTGTTTAATATAGCGCCTTACTACAACAAAAAACAAAATTACATTTATAGAGTGCCTTTCACGTTGGGAGGATGTCCCAAGGTGCTGGACAGTCAGGGGTAGGGGTGAGGGAAGACAGAGAGATGGGAGGGTGACTGAAGGCACGATCGAAGAGCCTTATCACGTCTTCGAGACGTCTCAAAGCGCTTCACAGAATATACTGTAAGGTGAATTGACTGTATACTTTGTGGGCAAAATGCACATAATGAATACATAATAACTTAATGAATACAGTGCTTTGTGTTGCAGAGACAGCACACAAGTCAGTCTTACTTATTTACATGAGGGTTTTGCAAATCTGGTTAGAGAGAACCTTTGGGGTTTTTTTTCCCCCCCAGCAATTACTTTTTTTTAAAATGTATGCAGGTCTGAGTCTCAAACTTTTCTTCTCCTACTGCCTCCAAACTTGCGTGTTCTTTTTTTTATAACTGGATTGTGTTATAGTATGGAGTCAGAATATGAATACAGGATTTATGGAGTCCTGTCGCTCAGTGGTTAGAACACTCACCTCGCAAGCGAGAGACCTAGGTTTGATTCCCGGCAAGGCGAAACCTTGGGCAAGTTTCCTTACTCCACACTCCTGATAATAATGCCTCAAGAAAAAAACCCCAATAATTATTTGGTCACTCAATCCATGACTGTTTGTGGGACGCTGCTGTGCGCAATTGGCTGCCACGTTTTGTCCACAAATATACAGTCAACTCACTTTAGACTATATTCTGTGAAGCGCTTTTAGACGTCTCGAAGACATGAAAAAGCGCTATATCAAATGCAAGGATTATTATTTTTTGTTATATAATAGAACTATAATAATAATGTGGTCACTCACTCCACAACGTTTTGTGGGACACTGCTATGTGCGATTGGCTGATGCATTTCACCCACACAATATACAGTCAATTCACTTCACAGTATATTCTGTGAAGTGAAAAAAGGAGGGAATCTGTAATATTCAAAGTAAAGGGAGATTTTTTGGTCAAATGCTTTTATAAGGAAGTGTATGTGTTACCCACAGTGTTCTTGCAGGAAGGGAAACTAAAGGAATAAAATAAGCTGGTAATCTGTAGGGAAATTAAAATTGGGAAAATCATTTGTTTTTTCTTTCAGTAAATGTATTGGAACAGTTTTCTGCCCAGCCTCCTCCCTGTTGCACAATATTGATGGCCAGTATAATATTAATATTGATTGCAGAAAGTATCTTTGGAGTAATCTGCTTTCTTCTCCCTGTATTACAAAGTTTGTGGCCCAGTCCTGCCATAAAGTTCTTGTCCTCCAGTGTGCTTTTCATATTGAATCTCTGGTTTCAAGAATAATTAATTTTTTTTGTAATTAAATCACAGTATGAAAGAATATTACAGCCCTGATTCGGGACATTCGGCATTCTCTGCTAGCAAGCATAGTCTATACTCATTCCTCCCCATGTCCTTTGATTTTTTTTTGGAGCCATCTGTTTAATTCTTTTGCGAAATAACTGATGGACTGTGGACTCTGTTTGCTCAGAGAGCCACCTTCGCAAGGAGATTGTTTCACGCCTGCTGTCGTGTTGTTATCTGCAACAACAGCAAAGCAAAACTTGTTGGAAGGCAGTCTATTACACTCTCCTGACATTTTTTATGTTAGTAAGGAGAAGGCAGTTCTGTCTAGTTAGTGGAGCCCTGTGCTCATGCACATACATACAAGTGGTCTGCTTTGCTCTGGTGCTATAAGTTGATTGCATAACTCAATGTTTCTTTTTTTCCACTTTAATACAGGTTCTATTTTAACACAAAGTTGAGGTATAATTTGGGTTTAACTGATCATTTAGGTGGATACATTTACCTCTCCAAGTGCAATAATGATAAAGTCCAGCAATTTACCTTTAACCTAACCTTAAAGTGCTTATAAATACGACACTTTGGCCACACCATTTGCCCATATAGTCTTAGTTAGTGCTGAATTGCAAGTTTTTGTTATGTGGCAATGAATCCACCAGTAATTGAGTTGACGCTAGCTAAATCCACTTTATGGCTCCAGAAAAAAATGTCTCAGAGTAATTAGGAAATGTCTTGTATTGCAATCTGTCAAATCTGAGTAAAACCTGATTTTAAAATGGTTTCCTTGTCGCGTTATGAGCGAAAACTACAATTTTTTTCTATTTTCTTCTAGACCACTGTTACCTGGGACGGGGACAAACTTGTGTGTGTGCAAAAAGGAGAGAAAGAGGGCCGTGGATGGACTCATTGGATAGATGGTGATGAACTACACCTGGTATGACTCTTGCGCTATTTCCTTTGACACATACTTTGTGTGTTGAGAGCACTTACTTCAGTCTTCACGTGATATTGTTTTATGCACATAATGTTGCTAATGACTGATTATGGAATATTTTGCTTCTTTGTTGCGCGCTTCTGGCAAAACACATTTGGAGTTCGTTAAACATTTTTTTTAAAAAAGTTTTGAAATGAAGGTATTAAAAAGGCACATGGCAGATGCTTACGAGAGCATTTCACGGAGCTGAATTATCTGACATACCTTTCTAACAGCTAGTTAGATGTTCAAAAGTTGCTAAACATGTGTTACAGATGCACTGTGAGCAATGTTCTTGCACTTCTTGGACGTGCATATTGGAAAAATTTACTTTTTTTAATAAACGGATGTTTTTACTGGGATTAAAGATGATGCTTGATCACGATTGATATCATTAAAGGATTAAATTATTGTTTGTTCACAGAACAGGATTTTGTAATTAACTTAATGAGCACTTTGCAATCAACCAGTTAGCCCAGCCCATGAGATTAGTCTCAGCTTCTGTATAAAGACTTTGATTTGAGTCAAAACCCATCAGGTGTTATCAGAGACAGACAAATCATTGTTATTCCTACTTTACCTACAAATGGGGATTACTTCGATTGGATTTTCTTTCGTGGGAAGAAAAAAATTCATAACAAAATCCAGCAAAGTTCATTAGATATTTAAACTGATGAATTGTATTTGGGTTAAAGATAAATGTAGCTTGCCACACAACAGTATTCATACTGCCCGTGCACACTGCCCACAAAGTCAAGTCTTTAATTTTTCTCCGAATTGTAAGTTTATAGAAGTTAAGTCAAACTGTGTCATCTGGCATACTTCCCTAGCAGCTGGCTAAATTGCATGGATAATGATGAAAGGGATGTTGTCTGTTTCTCAGCTGCTATTTTTTTGTTTCTGATTTAGTGCCAGGTCAAAAGAACATATGAATGCAAGTTGGCCTCTTATCTCAATCGCTGATGAAATTATTTAAGCCCAAATTGTAGCATTCAGAATTTAGGCATTGGTGGTATATTGGGTGCATGTTCAAATCAGAAATAAATGCAAAGAGAATATATTAGTAACCTTTTTGAAAAAACCCTCTTTAAATCTAAATGTGATTTTAAAACTACTGTATGAAGAATGCCTTATAAATCAAGTACACTTTATTTCAATTAAAATGTGACAGTACCATGGAGAGCTGATTGCAATCCTGGCGGTTAATATCGGATTAAGCACAGATTTGCCCTCAAAACTCAGACCTTCTGGTTTGTTTGTTCTGGATGAAAGGAAACATTTGTATGAATAAAAATGTGTAAGTTTGTAATGTACAATATTTTGAAGATTGTTCAAATTTTAAACAATAATTTAGCTGTTTCTTATTTTTGCCCCCCATTTTCTCTCCAGGAAATGCGGGCTGAAGGCGTAACATGTAAGCAAGTATTTAAGAAGGTCCATTGAAGAACCTCAATGCAGGACTGGAGAAAGGCCAGAGAGACATTGGCTCAAGCTGGCTGCAGCCTCGAAGAGTTTCATCAAGAAAAAAAACTTTCATATCAGTACAGATTGTCTTACGGTCAACCTTTCAAATGTTACAAAAAATAAGTTGTTGGATGTCATTTTTAAAATCGGTGTCAACATAAATTACTTAATTGAAAGCTAAATTTAATCAGATCTGTAAAGTCGATTTTTTTTGGCCCTTAATGCTTCACTAAAATGCGTGCAAGTCTATGCTGTGACTTAAGTTGCAAGGTTTTCAATCAGATGCTCATGTCTCAATCCACTCACTCCTGTGAATCTAGATCAAACAAATCATTAACTAACTGCCACATTGGAAGTGTAACCGTCATCATTTCCCATTGTGGTTCACTTTGCTCCTGATATGAAACCTTCCCCTGCCTTTATGGCCATAGTAAATGTGAATATTGCAACACAGTGATTTTAAATATATATATATTAAACCTCGTATTGTTGATTGTATCCAAGTTAAAGAAAATATTATAAACACTTTTACACTTATTACACTTTTTCAGCAGATGAAGAATTGTTTTTGTTGATGCTACTGCTACTTGTTTATGTTTCAGTGCATTAATACCTGTAGCTTGCTAAGAGTTTATCCTTGGGATTACTCTAGGCATCTTATAAAAGGCTGACTTGTACCTCATCTCATTTAATTAGTTGGGTTGCTGCTGAGTTGAAAAATCCTTGCACGTAACAAGACGTTTATGACCAGATTTCATTAATTCCTGTTGTTGCCAAGTGTCAACACCAGCTTTATGACCCTAATGTTGGTTGTAATCCACAAGCAAAGCATTGTTTCAATATCCCCCATCAGGATGGAACGGGATTATTGCAATATCTGTATGATGCACAGCTTTGAACTCTGTCCAGCTGTGCTGCAAATGTCACTGTAACATAGTCATACTATGGAATTTTGCAGCTCTAAATCCATCCGGGCAAATATTCTGGATGACCTCTGTTTGCTCAATGGGAAAGTAACGTATGCTTAAACTGCTGGTTTGTGCGCACATACATCTGGTACAAAGACTCGTGGAGCCCAAAAATGTAGATATTCATCGAGCACCACTTTGCGGGCTTGTATAAATTTTTTTTTAAGCGGAGTGAATTACTGGTGAATATAAAAAGTTTGGCTTGATGTGTGCAAATGCTGACTGACACGGAGTGCTGATGATTTGTGTGCTTAAAAAAGGAAGCTGAAACATGAATAACTGTGGCATACGTTTTCTCTGAGATTACATATTGAAATATATTCTGCCTCAAATGCAACTTCTCTATAATGATAGTAAATGGTTTGATGCATTGACATTTCATGCATAGGCATATGTTTATCTAGCACATTATATTTTGTCTGCCAATGCCATTTAGAATGAAATAACCGGTACTAAATGCCTCGATTAAGGGTTTTGACAGAGCTCCTCAAACATAACTGAGCCAAGAAATTCCCACATGAACTTGCTTTTGTATTATTGTAATTTTAATTTATTGCGGTCGTCCATCTCAATATTCAAACTGGGAAATGGAGCAGATGAATCCCTTTGCAACTGATGGGAGTTGAGGCTGAAACAATCCTCCTGAGTTGAGTTAAAGGTCAAGGAAATAATATAGTTATTACCTGAACTCTCTGGCAATGATGTTTGCCCAATTTTAATTATACATTGTAGTGTTTTGGATGTGATCGAGAGAGATTAAAAACTCTGTTTCTGAATGAAACTGCATAACGATTTACTGACCATACTGAAGTCTCTATTTGATCAGCGTTTTAACATCCTGAAACCTTGTAGAAGCTGGTAACCTTTCAAGAGGTCTACCAGAATTGTGATATACTTGAATAGGTTGACAGATCTGTTCCCGACTGACTTAAATATACTTGATGGCAGGTTTCCTCATAAAATGCAACTACATTTCCAAGCCATGTTTTCCCTATACGCAACTGCCACAATTCTTCCTTCTAATACATTCTACGTCGCTGGGCAGCTCTATGGATGTGAGAGGTAGTGAAATGGGTTCACTCATTGTGTATTGGGGAATGGAAGGGTTTCACAGCCACTCAAACTGATTTCATTACTTGCTTTTATTTGCACACCGAATCGCAAAAGCATTGATTTTTAAAAATCTGAATATTGAAATTCCAACAACCTCTGAGATATCTACTTTATGCTCTCATTTAATGTTTAAAACCGTTTTAAAGTTTTACTTCAAAAGGAGTTTGCTCAGCTCACATCTCAGCTGTGTGGCTTCTGGAATAGTGTGTAAAAGTCCAAATTTCAGTAGGTTGGGCAGTGTAGGTATTTGCAAGATATAATAGACAAATGGACCTTGGGTAAAATTCCACTTTTATGACAATAATCTGTTGATCTATAATCTTCAATGCAAGAGAGGCCCAATATAAAACCTGGACTTTGGGGTTATTTTCTTAGTCACTCTTGCTGCAGAACAGCATCTCTTTCCCTCGAGTATTGTCAGGATTAGAGTCAAGAGTCAAGCAAAAATGCCTGCAGATTACAATGGCACCTGGGTGATGATCGAAAATAAGAATTTTGAAGGCTTAATGAAAAGCTTAGGTAAGTTCTGACTGCTCTCTGCAGTAAAGTAAACTGTCAGAGGAGCTATTTGCATCATTACTTTGTGGATAAATTGGTTTGTAGAATAATGGCATTAAAAGCATAGATGTGATTGTGTGATCTTTATAATACAAGTTCCTTTTTTTTACGCTTCCCCTCATGGAAACTTAACTGAAATATCCCATTTAACAATAATCCCGCATAAACTGGGTTACTGCAGAAGCTCAGTTAAGTTTCAACCATTAAACTGGGAGTACGATCATTCTCCTTTTGACTATAGTCCTGTTTTAGTTGTTACATTTTTAAAAAAGCATATTTTATTTTGGGTACATCATCAGAAGTCACTTCATAGAAAATCTATTTAATGTGCAGAAGGGCACAAGTAGACTTATCATTGAGCACTTGCACAGCAAATAGTGGACTTCAGTCGTTGGATAAGCATTGCACCATTTCAGCAGATTATGACAGCTTCAATCTTGACTTTAGAATTAGAAGATTGCAATCTTTCAGCAGATTCTCCTACCTGTGTGTGGAGTACAAGATCAAGAGGCTGGGGAAGTATAGCACTATGATTTTGATGGTTAGGTTCAGCTACAGAAGAGGCAGTCTGTCTAAACATAATCTTTGGTGGTTAAACCCACAATTGAATCACTTTCTGAAATGGTCCTGCATCCTACATTTGGATTTTTATCAAGCAAGACTTGATGCACAAGAAACATAAGTAATTATGTGACTAACAAAGTTTTCTGCTATTAATGTGCCCTTTTTCTGGGCCCTGAACTTCCACTTTCGCCTTCAATCGATAAGACTGCTGCTGTGCCATGATCTACTGGGACCATAAATGTCATGACAATCGAGTTTAATCAGCACATTTTGCAGTAGTTATGTGTTACACACCAGTTATATTTATGGCATCCAGTTCCTGACACTTTTGACTCAACCTCCTGTATGGTTCAGCAGGAATGGGTGCAAAGCAGGCAAAATCGGGGGGTTGGGAAGAAATCAATTTGTTTTTTATTTTGCAAAACTTGTGAAGCGCTTTGAGACGTCTCAACGATGTGATAAGGTGTTATATCAAATTAAGGTATTATTATTATTATATATTTTGTTTCGCCCACAAAATATACAGGTAATTCACTTTACAGTATATTCCGTGAGCGCTTTGAGATGTCTTGAAGATGTGATAAGACGCTATATCAAATGCAAGGATAATTATAATTTAATTTTAACCTAAACCCTGGTCTGCCAAATATCTGAATGCAGTTGCCCTTTTCAAATTTGGCAGGTGATGCCCCCATTAGTGATTTTAAACACTCTTTATTGGAACTGCAGCTGAAATTGAAAAAGTGGGGGCTTCCTGAATATCTGGAAACAGATATGATGTGAGTTGAATGGACCCCGGCTCCTCCTCCCAGTCTGGTAGTTCTTGCAACCAAAACAGCCAGAGTAGATTTAATGGGTTGTGAACCGAGCTGGCAGGCATTAATCTCCTCTGATTTCCTTGAGGATTTAATCCAGGAATTAATCATGTTTAGTTTGACCAGCATTTGAGGAGTTTTTAGTGCTTGTGACCTCAAAAGACCAGTCTAAAAAGGATCTTTAAGTAGTTCAGAACTCACAAGACTGGGGCTGACTTTTCTTTAGCCAGATAAGAGCATCTTGGTTCCTCTGTAGTTTGGAATTTTATATTGAGGGATTAGCTGGTTGGATGATTGGTTGGTTGGTTGTTAAACGCTTCGGAATAAAATGGTGCATTTAAATGACTGAACAGGTGAATATCAACAGTGCATTTTAACAGCAGTCAGGTTAATATTAATTAATTTTAGGTTCCATTGAGTTAATGGAAAGAATTCTTGATAGGGAACATTTACATTTTTGTTGCATTAAGCATGGGCCCATAAATTCTCTCAATTTAAAATGTGGAATAAAAGAGCATGTTTAGAAACAGAAAAGTGATTACAACAACAACATTAAATATATCAATTCAATTATTTGGCATTGAAAAATAATTGTTGTCTAGTTCAATTATTTTAAAGTGTATTTGGAATCCTGTTTAAGAAAAAGCAGAGTTAAAATTGTTGATTATAAAAAATAACCTGTTGAGGTAACAGAAACTGCCTGGAGGTGCTGCCACTATACAGTAGTACTTAGCAAAGGATTACTATATCATTTATTCCACTGATAACTAAACCAGAAATACAGTGTTCATGATTTATTCAATTCTAATATACGCTGACTTTAACATTTCCCAGAAATAAGTTTCAGATTATTTCTTCATGAACCTGCATTAATAATCTTACAATTGTTAATTCTTTTACAAATGCTATCACATGTTAACAATATGAAAAATGCTGACACGAAATGGATTCAGAACAGAATCAATCCATCCAATATGGAACCAAATAGATTATTAGGAGTCATTTGAAGGCTAATCTAATCTTAGGGTCTGTTTTTATATTGGACAAAGTTCACTCTTGTGAATTATAACATTTGAACCTATCAATTGGGGTACTGCCTTGTAATCACTCCAGGTATCCATTATTGCTTATATAATTAAAATAGTATTGAGAAATTGATTCTTGTTCAAGTTAATACTTTCAAAATGTTGTCCAGGCTATAGGAGTGACTGATTGTCCAAGATCTCTATTCGACTGTTCTAACCCCAGGGAGTATAACATTGCAGTATTGCAAGCTAACAGCAAACTTTATTTTATGAGACACATTGGTTACTCTTGTGTGACTGCACTTCAGCACAGCTTACTGATGATCCTGTGATCTCAAGGATATCAGTAAAATAAGTTCACAATGTCAAAGCCTTTGGATTATGTTGCAATGCTGCAAAATCTTATTTATTGTACTCCATGACTAGATGATAAAAATATGATTGGATTTATCTGTGAACGCAAAAATTTTCATTATTGCCTGCTGCCTGACATCTTTTGTTGCTAGCCTTCAATGAGATACGTCCATCTGAACCTTGGGTTGATGTCTTATCCGAAGAATGGCACCTCGAACAACCACAGTGCACTCCAGCAAAACTTCAGAATGTCAGCTTTAATGTCAGTAAACGTTTGATGTGGGGCTTGAACCCATAATAATTCAGAAGCAAGAGTCCAACCTACTGAGCTGGGCTGACCCTGAAAATCAAAGGCTTAAAGTCCCATTCATATCCATATATTTTGCTGCATTGAGCTTAAGACTGTTATAAATCATTCATCTCAATAACGTAACAGATTAATGAGTTTAAGTAAAGCCAAATTATCTTCTATTCTCTTTTATCTCCAATGCAGATATAGACTTTGCTACCAGGAAGATTGCTATACACCTGACACAGACAAAGGAAATCAAGCAGGAAGGAGACAAGTTTTACACTAAAACCCTGAGCACCTTCAGAAATTATTTGGTAGATTACACTATCGGTGAAGAATTTGAGGAGATCACAAAGGGTCTGGATAATAGAACAGTCAAGGTACAGTATATATTAAATGAATTCTTTTCAAAACTATTACAAAAGTGGATGGTTTACTTTTTTTTATTTCAACCTTCGTGGCACGTGTTTATAATGTGAAAATTTTACCAATCTGTGGAATTTCACCTCAGAGCATGGATCAACCTATCTATAAAGTATATTCTATAAAATAATTTCAACTGCACCAAGGGGCACGGGTAAGGAAGACTACTTTGTGACCTATTTATCAACTGTGCCTCTACACTGGCAAATCCTCTTTATTACAGACTGGCTGTAGCTTTGTTAAGAAGCACTTGTAAGAACTATCACTGTTTAAAGCTGGATGATGATGCATTGTAACTTGAAGTAATTTACATTAGCAATTATCAACTGAATTTAGGATTCTGTTTTGGAATTCAAGTTATTATTTTTTCTACCTCCAGACCCTGGTACAATGGGATGGTGATAAACTGGTCTGCGTTCAGAAGGGTGAGAAGGCCAACAGAGGCTGGAAGCATTGGATTGAAGGGGATAAACTTCATTTGGTGAGAAACCTTGCACAGAATGATTGGAATAGGCTCTCTCATTTGAGTTCTGCCAGGAATGCGTTTGATGAAATATCATTTAATTGAGTGTTCAGAACTAATGCTTTCCGAGGGAAAATTATAATGTAAAACAGAACAAATTACCAATGCAGTTCTTGTAGCTGAACATTTAATTTGAGGTGAGTTAATCTTATTATGCTCAGTTTTCTACTTATGGTAAAGACATCTGCGTGCCATGATAAGACAGTTATGCTATTTAAAGAGAGTGGAAAGAAAGCATTAGTAGTAACTAAATCAGTACTTTGCTCCCTCCACCATTATAGGATTGCACAGCTCTTCTGATATCCTATAGTTGGCCCTCCTAATTAAGGACAATACAAAGATATATCCTTTGTTGGAGGCACTGATGTTTAGCAGATCACACATCTTAATGTGATGTGACTCACATGTTCCAGTTGCTGGGTTAAGCTTCTAAGCATTTGAAGTAAAAGTGAGCGTAGGTTACCCAAGGAAAGGTAGGCTAGAGAGGTGAATTATAGAACAAGGTTCCTGACCCACTTCACAATTCAGTTACAAGAATGGTCTGCACTGGAAATGGAATCATTCACACTGGGTGGAGTGATCAGTGCTCTTTCAAAAATGGGTGTAGAGTGGAGAGAGATTTATTCTGCCCCTATCGTACTCTGTCCTGACAAGTGGAAAAGTGTTCCATTCCCCAGTAGTCACATTTTTATTTACCACAATGAGAAAAACATTTAACTGGGAAAACAGTAAATCTAAATTGTACACTTTCCCATCTCTCTTGCTTTTCTTTGAACTTTCCCTTATTTCCCTCGTATCTCTCTTCTCTTAAATGCAGTAACGTGTAGATGGTTTCACACATGGTAACCAGCAGTCCAAGTGATCATTCTATATCAAATGCAAAGATTATTATTATTATTATTCACATCTGAGCCTTGGCAACTGAGTGTCAAGTTACTGTTCAACCACTGGAGGCATTGCAGTCAGGCCCAGCTGTGTGCATATGCTTTTTATTGTTCCTGATGCCCTGAGTATTTTTCTGTTATGTTGATGATTACGTTTTACTCTTGCAGGAATTAACATGTGAAGACCAAGTGTGCCATCAGGTTTTTCAGAAGCAATGAATATAAAGCTACTCAACACAGATCATTGACAAAGTCTTTTATCAACATAAATGTCTACTTTTTGTATGAAGCTTGTATCTACTCAGTGCCATTGCATGTGTGCTGTGCTTTAATAATAAAGAGAATTTATCTGCAATATGAACAGTGATTTAAATCAAATTACATTTCTTTATACCACACACCATTAGGAATAAAGGGTATCACATTATAAATCTTCATCAGACAACCTCCCATGGATTGTTTCTAAAGAGAAAACACATTTTCTTTAATGTTCAATACCAAAAATACATTACCAGGATTCTGATTTGTCCCTGTGTACCTCGGGCAAATGTATGTCCTGTTGGTTTACCCCGGAGAAGAACTCCATCATAGCTGTCAAAACGTTTACAGGTTCTGCTTTTCTACCCTGCCAGCAAGTTGTGCATTGGCGATAGATCTGAAAACTACACAAGAAAATGGTCTCAGGGAAGGAAAATTTGTCTTTGAATTTTCAGATTCCTGTTTCAGTCCAGTTACCTATTTTGATGCAAGAGCAATACGTCGAATCTTGAAGTGTAGCATTGAGCTGACGTACAGCAAAATTGATAGATTCAATGCATTTTGTTCTGTGGTACATGTGTGAAAATAGTCAATTCCCTCCATTCCTTTCCCGCAGGTAGTGAATTATGCTACAGTATAGTAGTATAACTCAGGACATATGCGCTGTGTTAGCAATGTGATGGCATCAACAACCCTCTGATGCCTAGCCCAAGTGGCATTTGTTATGGGTGATTCAGGTTATTTGAGCAATAGAATCACTTCCAAACTTTAGCTTGTCTTTAGCCAATGCCCACATGCTTTTCCAGAGATGGGGAATCATTCAATAATGATAAGGTACAGCCAACACCACTTCATAACATGGGGCCCTGAGACATGTTATGTAGCAGTGTAGTGCCCTCACAACTGGGCATGATTGAGATAAATTCCCTCAGCTAGATAAACCTGGTTTGTTTGTTGCTTCAGCACATATAAATACTTATGCTGTATCTTAATTGGAAAAAAAGCTATTAACGTGCAAAAAAAAGTCTGACGTGTGCTGTAAATTGACTGTGCTGAAGAAACAAATAAATAATAAAGGAACATTTTAACGTAGGTGAAAATACAGTATGGCAAAGGATCGATTTGGCAGGTTTAAATTTTGTTTGCAATCACCTAACTCCAAGGAAGCTGAATTAATAATAATAATAATAATCTTTGCATTTGTTATAGCGCCTTACTATGTCTTCGAGACGCCTCAAAGCGCTTCACAGAATATATTGTAAAGTGAGTTGCCTCTATATTTTGAGGGCGAAACTGGGCCTTATGAAAAAAAATTACTTCTTCAGTTTGAGCACACAAACTGGGCTCTGTTTCAAAGTTCCATATTCTCACTGGAAATAAAAAAAAACTTAGCTTGACTGTAAGGGCCTTATGGGAAGGGGAGGAGTATCAGTGTTGGGGATTTCATGTTCTTATCTTGGCATGAGAACATTTTATGATCTAGATGGGATTATATATTTAATTGTTTCTGTCTAAATTGGGAATTCAATTGAATGGCTTGGTACATTGAAATTCCATGCTTGGATTAGATATGCATTTATCTGCATTCAACTGTATCACATTTAACAATGGTTTTTCAAACGCAATACCCCTTGCTAAATGCCTTGATTAAATATTTTGACAAATGTGATCAAATCTGACAGCACCTTGGAGTTTGCACATGCATGAGCATTTGTATTGCTGCAATTTTAACTTATTGCAAGATCTGACTTTTGTTGGTAATCTGTCTCAGAGTAATTGTGGGGAACTAGAACATGCACTGACAAGTGGGCTGAAAAGCTTCCTTCTGTGCTGTAAACTTTGTTTAATTCTATGAATAGACGATAATACATGTTTAACGTCATAGAGTCAAGAGTTGAATAAATCCTCTTGGATAAAGGCCAAGAAGAGTAAATGTCAGTGACATTTATTTATTTAACCGTAAGCACTTAGACCAGGGACAAGTTGAGCATCTTTCTTAACATAATTTAATTAGCTGTTTAATTCCCTATCTTTACTTTTCCCAGGCGACAGCTGGCATTCCTGTACTGATAGGCCAAACAGGCAACCAATTCCCAAATCTATGCCAGATCTTTCCTAAGATCTCCCCTCCACAGGAGCATACTCCCACGCTCCCTAGAATAACATTGAGAACTTGTCTTGTATGAAATTGCTAATTCAAGTCTGGTTCTTTTTCATTTGTGACCCACTGGAGTGAAAGACCGACTTGCCGTGCTTTGCTTTTCTGAGAACCGAGGTTAAAGCGCAAATACTGGGAGGCCTGATTTTGGAGTTCCGTAGGGACAATTTACAACTTTCGTTTGCTAAATAAAAGGATTGAACAAGACTCCAATGCAATTCTCCGTTGAGCTAGAATGAGAAAATTAATCTTTCTGATTTTTAGTTGAACGAAGATTTATGAGCTACTGAATGAAAATGGATGAATCTGCTGAGGCATTCTTCGCTAATCCTGATATTAGATTTTATTATAAATTCAAAATTTCAATTTATGTGTCCTTTAAATAAGAAATAACTGCATTTATTTTGCCTCCTCAACCACAAAATTATTTGCATTTTTTTTCTGTTTTATTGAAACATTTCTCTCAATTTTATTGCGAAGCTGTTTTGTTATAAAGCTTCAGACTTCAGATTTTAACCGCAGTTTGGTTTCTGAAATGCCATCTAAGATTAACCTGAAATTCCCAATCTGTATGAGTTGGCTGTTGCATTTGCCAAATGGAATAAAGATACCTTGTGCAATTGGGTAAAACTTTTATTTTATTTTATCTGATTATAAAACCTTGCAATATGTAATCTGATCCACAATGGTAGTATAAAATACAGTGAAGGTCAATACAAAAATCAGAGCTTATTTAATTTCCCAACGGATCCTCAGATCTCTCTTTCAAAACAAATGTAGCAGATTACAACAATGTTTAAGAGCTAACAGAAGATGAGAACTGAGTAAACTTAGTCCATTGGACTATCTAAGGCCTTGAAAGGGTGGTCCCATATTTGAGTGATGTCTAAATAATAATAATAATCTTTGCATTTGATATAGTGCCTTATCACGTCTTCGAGACGTCTCAAGGTGCTTCACAGAATATACTGTAAAGTGAATTGACTGTATATTTTGTGGGCAAAACATGGTAGCCAATTGCGCGCAGCAGCGTTCCACAAACAGTCGTGGTTTGAATGACCAATTTTTTTTCAATGACTTCATGATGCATGCATCTGTACTATAGTGTACAATAACAACAACTTGCATTGAGCTAGGCAGAAGGGGAGGGGGATGTGGATGATTTACCTTTTCAAGGTGGGCCCAAGAAATTTGTAGGGTTTGTTTTCGCCAAGTTCAAACTGGACAGTAGAAGGATAGGAGCGGGTGGCAGAGGCCTGACCACGGCTTGGATTCTGATGTGCTGTTGCTAAAAATTCATTGGAAACCTTAATCATTTTTATATGAATTTCTCCATATTAGACGGCACACAAGACAGCGGGAAAAAATGGTTGAATTTTTAAAAAAATTATACATTTGTTACTTAGTTTGCATTTCAGACATTTCTGTCCAGCCCACTAAAAAAAATGTACTGATTCTGAACCAAATGACCGCTAGCTCAAATGGTTTGGCCTGAGCCACACTGCCATGTGTAAAATAGTAGCTTGTAAATTTATGATCCTTCAGGTAAATACTCGTGCAAGCTTGATTGTGTTGTGCAGTCAGAATGTTGTTTAATTTATTAAACTTGTTGATCCTGTTAAACACTGAATTGATGTCAGAGAATGTTTCAGTCAGAGAGAGCACAGCAAGACACTCTGCTCTCTTTTCCTTCTTCACATAAGTCTGTGAACACCATTGTGAACGTGCAGTCTAAATGGAAATTTGCTTCAGAGAAATAACTGGGCCCTGCTGGGAATCCCGAATCCCTGAGGGTAAAGAACTAATTTTCCATTAGCAGCCGAAACCCAAGGAGATTTTACTGGCACTGTCTTAATAAACAGAACTGAGCAGCGAAGGAGGAAACCGTGTGAATGTCATGTGGCAGGTTAAGTAAAAGTAGACTCGTTACAAATCTCCTTATGGGTGCTGCAGTAGGATACTCCGTCTATATGAAGGGCCCGTCCTTGCTCCCTAGAGAAGTGTGCCTATTATTCAGTTATACAGTGAAGTATGGACATTGATGATAGAGAAGTCTATTGCCCAGATCATCCAAGATTCTGGAGGAGGATTTGGGAGATGGTGGGAAGGATCCAGCTTCAGAGCAATGCCAAATATGACCTAAAAAAAATACGTGGAGGTTGAGGCAAACCAGGAAGCTACTTCTTATCAGTATCAATTTTATACTGTCCAATTTTTGAAGGTTCCAAGTACGTGTATCCATCTGTCAGAAAACAAATATACGTTGTAAAATGATTATAACGTATCAAGATGAATTGCTATGCTGATTGCTAAAACTAACTTAGTCATCAGATTAATTCTATCCTAACCGGCTCCTCCGCCCTCCCCGACACGCCTCGCAGATACTTTCCTCCCATTCTCACTGCGAGAAAATGCTGAACTTCCTCGAGTTCAAAATCGAGGGAATCTGCTCAGCTGCCACTGCACTCCCAACTTCCACCCCCTCCCTACCCCCACCCCACACAATTACCTATCTGACAATTACCGATACCTCCTTCCACACCTTTGAACCTGTCACCCCCTCCTCTGTCTTCAACATGGTAACCTCCATGAAGTCCACCACCTACTCCCTCGACCCCATCCCCACACCTCTCCTTAAATTCCAGCTCCACCTCCTTGCCTCACTACTCGCCGACATCATTAACCTCTCCATGTCATCTGGCACTGTTCCTTTCCCCCTCAAAACAGCCACTATCACCCCCACCTTGGAAAAAAACCTTCCCTTGACCCAGCGCAGCTACCTAGCTACAGGCCCATCTCAAATCTCCCTTTCCTATCCAAGGTCCTTGAGAGAGGCATTGCCTCCCAGCTTCGCTCTTTCCTCTCCTCTCACTCCCTCCATGAACCCCTCCAATCGGGTTTCCTGCTCTGGTCAAGGTCACAAACGACATCCTGACC